AATTCGCCTTCCAGTACGAAAAGACCCGTAAGTCTCCAAATCGAGATGTTATATATGTACATATGTACACGTAAAACGGATGAATGGAGATGAAGGAGATGGTATAGCGAGGAATCGAAAAAGATTGGATCACTTTCGTACGAGCGATGGCCGCAGTCAGAAGTGAATTCCCCAGCGAACCGAACAGTAATACCAACACCAATACCTCCACCAAAACTGATCGCCTGAGGTCCGTGAAAAATCGGGTGACCACGTGTTTGAAGCAGTTGTGCGAAAAACTCCAGGCAACTGGATCTTTTCGCAAGAGTTCCTCCAGCCGATTCTACAAGATCTTCGTGAAGGCTGATTATTCCGGTTTACGGGAGAAATCCAAATTTTTGCGCCAGTTACAGAAGATCTATAAATCGACGCGAAAAACCGAATCGCCGGAGTTGTGGAAAGTGCCGTTGGCCCATGACGTCACCGGGCAGAGCAGCCAGCAGTTGCAAATCGTAACCAGACTTTTCTCATCCACTCTGATTTCCACCGAGGAAATCACCTACAACACCAACAACAAGAACAACAACAGCTGCAAAAGTCGGAAAAGCCATAAAAGCTACAAAAGCAGCATGACCATTATCGAGAGCAACTATATAGCTGTGCGCGAGGAGTTTCCCGATATCGACACCGAGGTGCGCGCCATATTGCTCAGCCACGCCCAGAATGGGATCACGATATCGAACATCAAAAGTAAGTTTTCCTTACTATGCTGGTATTACTTTTTTGAACAAAATTCAATAGGATTCATTGTATGAAATTTTCAATCCTTATTTTGCCCACTGTAGATTTTTTACATTCTGATTAAACTGACAATTAATGCCTATAAATTTAATATTATTGTTAATTTTTTGGTGCTAAAAAAAAATGTTGAACCGAACACGTGGTTTAAAAGGGTTCCACAAAGAAATGACCCACCCGAAATCCATGCTTAAATTTATTTTTAATTTAGTATTTAGTAATAATTTTTTTTCTATTAACATTTAAGTTATTTGCATAATGATGGTAAATATTTTTACTGATAAAAATCCTTATAACTTATGTTCCCAAATTATCATAATTCTAGGTGAATATCGAAAGCAGACGGGCTGCCAGTTTCCACTGCACGACAACGTGACGGACTTCCTGCTGACCATTCCGAACGTGACCGCCGAGTGCAGCGAGTCCGGCAAGAGGATCTTCAACCTGAAGCCGAACGTGAAGAACCGCCACCTGCTCGACATGGTCCTCAACCAGAAGCAGCGCACCAGCGACTACAGCAGCGGAGCTCCCTCCGTGGAGGACAAACCTCGTCCGCCACCACGATACTGGAAGTTCCCCTACAAACGGCGGGCCTTGTCCCAGCTGGAAAACAACCTGAACACCGGTCCAAAACTGAAGGAACAGGAACACCAGTTCCAGGCGGCCACCACCAAGGCGGCTCCACTGCAGCAACTGGCCAAGGAGGCAGCGGAGTCGAACTGGTGCTACCAGGACAATTGGAAACATCTGTAAGTGGAATCAGACTAATTAAAAACCACAATTGTTACAAACGAACTACGAACCCCATTAATGAACAAAAAATGTTAAATCTTATCTCTTTAAATCATAACGAATTTCCTACTTTAAGATATACTTCATGGTAGAGTATTAATTCTCAAAACTAATTTTTTATATTAATTTTAAATTTAATTACTTATTTTGGACAATTTAAACATTGCCTAGAGATACTGTTTGGTATAACTCTGTGGTGGTTAAGTTTTATTTATGAAAGAAAATTAATTTGAAAAAAAAATTTTGTTTTTCCATTTAGGAAATACATTTAGAAATTTTGTATAGCTCATCTTTAAAATAATTAGCAAGAGACTTGTTCTTTTTATTTCAATAATTAGTAAATTCAAGCATTTTGATTGATCATTTTAATTAATTATAGATGCCCTAATATTTTGTAGTAATTTAAAATTCTAATATTTTTCTTAATAACCTAATATTTTAGCAACAACTTCTACCAGCAATCCAGCGCAAACGAACCGCAGATGCCAGTGCCCATTAATATATACAGCGATGCTACAGAGGAACGAACTCAGTTTGCTGTTCCCGAGCCGCGACCATGCGGCAAGAACCACAACCAGAATAACAAACCAAATGTAAATCAGCAACTGGGATCATTTGTGAACCCATTTAATGATATGAATATACTGAAGAGACGCCACGATATGACGCCAACACCCACGACTTTATCCAGTGGAACGTATAACGATTCAATGCTGACCATCAGTTCGGATTACGATGCCTACCTGCTGGACTTTCCGCTCATGGGCGATGATTTTATGCTATATCTCGCCCGCATGGAGCTAAAATGCCGATTCAGGCGACACGAGCGTATCCTTCAGTCCGGACTTTGCGTCTCCGGGCAAACGATCAATGGCGCCCGGCGGCGGTTGAAGAAAGTTCAACTGCCCGCAGGCACCCAGATCATCGTGAACATCGGCTCCGTGGATATATTGTGCGGAAGGCCTTTGGTTCAAATCGAACACGATTTCCGGCTGCTGATCAAGGAGATGCATAGCCAGCGATTTGTGCCCATTCTCACAAATCTGGCCCCGCTGGCCAACTATTGTCATGACAAGACTATGTGTGATAAGATCTATCGGTTCAACAAATTCATCCGCAGCGAGTGCTGTCACCTGAAATACATCGACATACACTCCTGTCTGATCAACGAAAGGGGCATCGTGCGGTTCGATTGTTTTCAAAGGTACGAAAGTGAATTGCAATCTATAAACATTTTACAACTTTTTTAAATTTAAGAAACAAAATAATTTGAAAAAATTCATTGATATCTTATACTTTAATCAAATTTTTACTTTCTTGTTTTCATTTCTATTATTTCTTAAAAAATATCCGTAAATTTAATTTGATCGGCAAACTTAAGAAACATTTTTGGCTTTTAAATAATTGTTTTCTTTTCTATGCTACAAATCCTTACAAATCTCTAGCTATATTTAAAATTTCAAATTCAAAATCAAAATCTTAATTAAATCCTTATCAATGCCTATAATTATTTTTTTTAACACGCATTGTTTTGAAGTGTTTAAAAGTTAAATCAAATAATTAAGCATACAAATCTTTTTTTGCAGCTCACCACGCCAAGTCACTGGTTCCAATCAGCCATATCTGTTCTGGAACAAAATCGGGCGGCAACGTGTGCTGCAAACTATTGAATCAAATCTGGAGTATTGAGTTTGAGTTTCTAATTCAATATATATTGACTGGGCTGGCACCATGAAGATTTGTGATGATGTTTTTACGATTTACGCTGATGGCTCGCTGTTTTTACGGAATTCGCTTAATTTTAATGTGTTTTATATGTATGTCCCCTGTTAATATATATATATATATGTTTGTGTAATTGTGTTAGTCCCTAATTGTATAAAATTGTGTGTTTTGTGTTATTTTCTAGATTTTAATTTTTTCCTTTTCACTGCCTGTGAAATCATTGAATATTCCATAGACTTTCTGCACACTTTTTGCTGATATCCCAAAAGGTGTGCAAAAATTCAAACACAAAAAAATTGCAGGCAGTTGGAAACTTTTCTCAAAACATTTTCACTTTTCTAAAACCATTTTCCCTTGAAATCTGCTTTATAAATCAGATTGCAAAGCAAAATGGAATTTAAATGCAAATCCATTGCAAATGTTGTAAACTGTTTTTTGTTCTTAATTTTTTGTGGGCCAAAATGCTTCATGCTCCTGTATCGCAACCTGCCACTCCCCCTTCCAAAAACAAAAACGGAGGACGGAGTGGGCGTGGTCGAAATACATTTGAGCCATGCTGCATTTTGTCTTCAGCGAAAATGCACTTGCTCCACTTGGAAAATTCGCTTGCACAAAATCAACGCCGCGGCTGATTTATTATTAATGTGCTCAAGCAAATTCAAGTGAAGCATTTGCGCGATTTTCGTGTTCCGGTTTCCGTTGAAATAAAGTTTATAAAAAGCTTACACTCTGCTGCAGACACGCCACCGGAAGTGCGCACTAAGCGTGTTTCTGTTGCACAGTGTAGAATTACAGTGCACATAACAGATCTACTCTAAACTCTTCTAGATAGCTATCTACTATTTATAAACTTATTTATTGTCTTGAATGTATGTTAATTGTATGTTTTGATGGTGATCACGTTTTTTTTGTCCTATAACAAGATGCAATGTAAAATCCAAAAAAAAATGAAAAAATAATAAAACAAGGGAAAATAACTTTTGTTTGGAATTTCTTCATTCAGTTATTGAGTACTTTTTTACTAATTAGCGAACTAAAAATCACAAGAACATGCAAATATGGAAACCTCAAGACGTTTAAACAAATAAATAAATATTTGTCTTGCCAATAATGAAAGTGGTTGAAAGAAAAATAAAGTAATAATAATAAAACACAGACCTGACAAATCTAAATCAAATTAAGATACATTTTAAAGTTAGCGCCAACAAGGTTTGAAGCACTGGTAGATGCTTACCCGAGTTTCAAACAAACATTGTACAAACTTAAGGAATACCCCAGATATGTTAATTACCTATTTGTTTATATAAATTGTTTAAAAAAGAGAAGTTATGCATTACGTCGATGTTTGAAACAGTAGAATATTCTCAAACTCTAATGCAGTTTTTGATTTGATGTTTAAAATAATTCCTCTTAATTTGATTACTAGTGAATTGCAAAGCTGCGAAGAGTTTTTAATGAAAATTAATAAACTACTCTTATATTTCGATATTAATTGTAATATATTTTCAATGTTCGTATGGAAACTGCTAACCAAAAACTGACCGAAATTCAACGGTTAAGCGATTTAATCGTTTAGTGGAATACCCCAACTAAATGTATTCGAGGTATCGATACTATCGAGCGCTGTGTTTTCTCCATTTCCAATTTCTCCACCTCTAGTTCAGTAGGTGACGACAAAAAAATCAAACAGTAAGCAGCTCTAAAGTTAAAATTTCCGCTTTGAACTTATTAGACGTACGTTTTTAACCGATTTTAGAATAAAATGGCTTCATTCTTGGCACGAACGGGAGGTCCCCTTCTGGAAACAGTTAGGCCAGCGGCCGTTAAAAAGGTAAGTCCGCCAATTAAAGGTCATATTTTTGTAAAAAATGCAAAAACCAGACGCTTTACATAATAAGGCGAAAAGAGAGAGGTGTTCGCTCTTTCTCTCTCTCTGTCTTACTCACACATGGTGAATGCACGATGGGATCGCGGAGTGCGGGGGTGGAGATCGCTTATCGCTAAAAACTAATTTCGTTTTAAATTCCCTTTAATTTGTTAAACAAATAATTCCCCAGTGAGAACGCTTAAAGTATATATTTTTCCGATCCAAAGAGAGTCACGATCGCATGAAGACACCTGACTTTTTTTTATTGTATCAGTGTGACGCAACTGCTGTTTTCGTGTTTGTGTGTGTGAGTGGACCTTGAAAGCCCAATTTATTCCCCTGTTTAATTTTCCCTTTTTTTTTTATCAATGAGCGTATGACAACTGTTGCTTTATCGTTCGCGGTTGTTGTTGTTTTAGTTGCCGGGCCCTCAAATTAAATTCTTAATCTGCGAATTAGTTTCGGTTATCGCCGGGAAGCGCCGTTATCCGCCAGACTTGCTCTTAACCCAGATTGCGTCTCTTTTGATTTTTTTTGTTTATGTTTTTCGGATGAATCAGCGAACCAGTTTTTTATACATTTTTGCTTGACAATGACCTCGTGACTGGATTAAAGGTTTCATTTACCAGATGGCAAAAAGCATTTTTTGGAACTGGAACAAACTATACTTATTTTGTTTAATTTCTTGGTCTTCAAAATAATATATGTAGTTTCCTTCAACTATAAAGTAATTAAACAATTTGGAACAAACTATACCTATTTTGTTTAAGTTTTGTTCTTGAAAATAATATTATTTCCTTAAAATATAAAATATTAAAATAATTTTTTTTCTTGTAACTTTCTTTAGATAACACATTTTTTTTTTTTTTTTTTGGGTCCATGAACACAACTTCAATGGTGAACATACCCTTAGACGAGTCCTATTTCGTACTAAATAATTTTAAAAATTTAAAAATTATTAAAAAAGTTTATAAACTGTGGGTAATAAATTTTTGATCCTCTATTTTGAACTCCTAAACTACTTATAATTTTAAATTCAATTCTGCCTTATAAATCTGTATTTCATATTAACCCTTCTATTTCCTATTTTTCAGATTCTTGGCCTGGCTCCTGTTGCCGTCCAGCAGTTGAGGAACCTCAATGTCCAGGAGCATGTTTCCTATAGTCTCCTCAACGAGAGCAAAATCCCAACACCTCGGTGAGTATGACCAAAACCCAACCGGAATTATCAAATTCGCGTAGGGAAACAACCACAATCAGCCACAAAGTTGCGGTCCAAAGTTCAATGGAAGTGCCGCGTTGTCGTTGCGTCGACGGTTTCAGTGGTTTATTTTCGTCTTGGACTTTGGCTGAACTTAATAATTTGCATTAATTAGCTAGGCTGGGGTAAACAAACCATAGAAGCGCAGCCACCGATGATAAGGTTGATAACAAGTTATACACTTTGATCAACATAAAGTGACAAGGGTCAGTGACGTGGGCTTTGATAAGTTGTAAAAGACGGGAGATAACCAAGGTGATAGTAGTTTAAAAAATTAAAAAAATATTAATAAAATACAAATTAAATGTCTTGGTTTAATACAAGTCGATACGGTTATTTAAAATCGATTTATTTCAATCCAAACAGTAGATGCCTTCAGATCTTAAAACTTGAAATCCTCATTTAAAGTAAAAGTAGTTTCTTGGCCAAAAAATCTTTTTGTGAAGTTAAAAAATAACGTACCTTAATCTATTGAATGCAAAGCAAAATCATACGATTATGTACGTTTTTCTCAAGGTATGCTTCTCATCTCCCGAACGACCGAATAACCTTGTCTCAAAAATTTCTAGCCTTCGGGATTCACAATTTTGACGCTTATTGATAAGAGAATTCACGTGAAATGTTCTTATCAATCCAAATTTATTGCGGCATCGTATAGAGAACACCCAGAAATTATTTAGCATACTAAATGACTCATTTCTTTTGCAGTTTCGCTGTTGCCAAGAACGGAAAGGAGGCCAACGACATTGCCACCAAGCTGAAGACGGACAATCTGGTGCTGAAGGCCCAGGTTCTGGCCGGAGGACGAGGCAAGGGAACCTTCAAGAATGGCCTGAAGGGAGGTGTTCGCGTGGTCTACGAGTGAGTAATTAGCAATGATTTATTCTGTTGGGATATTCATTAAATATCTCATCAATTTGCAGCCCCCAAACCGCTGAGGAGATTTCCGCAAAGATGATCGATCAACTTCTAGTCACCAAGCAAACCGGAGCAGCTGGTCGCATCTGCAAGAAGGTGATGGTAGCCGAAAGGAAATTCCCCCGCCGTGAGTTCTACTTCGCCGTGATGATGGAGCGTGCCTTTAACGTAAGTCCAAAAATGCGTCAAATATCAGAAATGGTCACCTATTATAATGTATAAATTAATCTAATTTTCAGGGTCCCGTCTTGATTGCCTCCAAGGAGGGTGGCGTTGACATTGAGGAGGTGGCTGCCAGCAGTCCCGATGCCATTCTGTACGAACCCATCGATATTGGCACTGGTTTGACCTGCGAACAGGCCCAGAAGATCATTAAGAAAGTTGGTCTGGGCGGTGATGGTGAGGACACCCACGTCCAGATGTTGATGAACCTGTACGATCTGTTCGTCAAGAAGGACGCACTCTTGGTTGAGATCAACCCGTATGCCGAGGATGCCATGAGTGGCTGTAAGTTTTCGGATTTAATTTCTCTTTAGTGTTTCTATGTGTGACTTATTCTAATATCTCATCTCATCTTTTCTAACAAAATAACCCATTTGTGAATGTCACTGGATTTCATGTCTTTCTGTCCAGGCTGTAAGTATATATCACCCACTAACATTTAGTTTGGAAATATTATTGGTGCAGGATTTACAAAGATTAATAATTCCATTTTTAATCTTCAGATATGTTTCCATAAACATAAATTCATTTGACAGCAATCGAATTTTTGTGCTAAATAAGCTATATAATTAATTTCACTTTAATTCACCTATTTAATGTTTTTTAATCATTTAAAATGCTTTACCGCAGATTTCGCATTGGACGCCAAGCTGCGCTTCGACGACAATGCTGAGTTCCGCCAGAAGGAGCTGTTCGCTCTGCGTGATTGGACCCAAGAGGATCCAAAGGAAGTTGAGGCTGCCAAATACAACCTGAACTACATTGCCCTGGATGGCACTATTGGTTGCATGGTGAATGGCGCCGGTCTGGCCATGGCCACCATGGATATTATTAAGCTGTACGGCGGCGAGCCAGCCAATTTCCTGGATGTGGGTGGTGGTGCCACTGCCGAGGCTGTCAAGGCCGCCTTCAAGATCATCACCTCCGACCCGAAGGTGCTCTGCATTCTGGTCAACATTTTCGGAGGCATCATGCGATGCGATGTCATTGCCGAGGGTATCATTTCCGCCACCAAGGACCTGAATCTGAACATGCCCGTGGTTGTGCGTCTCCAGGTGAGTGGAATATGGTCTTTAATTGATCATTGTATATGATTAATAATATCAATTATTTTTGCAGGGCACCAAAGTCAAGGAAGCCCGCGAATTGATTCGCACATCTGGACTGAAGATTCTGGCACGCGACGATCTGGACAAGGCTGCCGATCTGGCCGTGCACTTGGCGCAAATCGTGAAGTTGGCCCGCGAAATGAAGATGGATGTGAACTTCGAGATTCCCGATGCCCAAAAGTAGATAGCTCCATCAGATACCGGCTAAGTCAACACTCATAAGCACACGCAGACACAAATGTGAAAGTCGACAAGAAAAGTAGAACCAAAACCTAACATTTACTCTAGCCACTCAAACTACTCAATGAAAAACTATGCCATCGGTTCGTAGTTAGAGCATTATGTGTTCGTAACGATCGGTCGAACAATTGATGAATTAATTTTGCAAAAATGTTAAGTTTAAAACTGTTGAGAGTCCTAAGATATGTCATATAGATAATTCGAATAATTCAGCAAGTTGAGTGTTCTCTTTGCACCTAAACAATTTCTATATTGTATCTAAAATAGTCAACATTAATTGCACTTGAATAATAGAAAAATGGAACAGAAAGTACGTTTTAATTGTGATTTTTGCAAAAATTCATTTAATTTTTATTTATTTAATTGCGACACTGCTTCAAAAGCAGTTCCATCTTGTGTATTATGCTATTTAGTTTGCTTTAAATTAAAACACAAAAAAACAATCTTAAACTGAACATGCTTTTTACTTTCTTTAGAACTTAATTATGCATAGTTTTATCTGAATTTAAACGAAAGCACACATTTTTTTGATTTACAAATAAGTTTCTAACTCGATTTAATTACTACACTTTAGTGGAAAGGGTGGAAAAGCAGATTGCAAGAAAGACGATAAGAAGGATGAGAAGAAAGATGAGAAGAAAGGGGATAAGAAGGATGACAAGAAATCCGATTGCACGAAGAAAGAGGCAAAGAAAAAAGAGGAAAAGAAAGACATTTGCAAAAAGAATGAATCCTCTGACAAGAAGGATAAGAAGTGAAGGCCGGCATTCCATTCAAGAACCAAGTGGGATCTGCTCGAGATTTTTCTAAAAATTACACAAACAACCGGAAAGAAGCCATTCCTAAAAATCCAAATCCTTTATTGAACTCACCACAATGATTAAGCTGTCAGAGTTTATATAGACATTTTACCGCCATAAATTTCCTATTACGTTTTCGAAAGATTTCAGTTTTAATAGTTCTGTTTTGTTTATTGTATGGTGAGCCTTAGAAACGATCGACTAGAGATAAAATGTGGGTCTGCTCCTGTTCCCGCCAGTCAGTGTCGCCATCGCCCAGGTTGCCAGCGTATTCTGTGCAAACAGTTTTTACGAATGGTTAGTTTGGTTTTGAATAGAAAGATTCTTTAGGGGATTACCTCTCATGATGCTGCGTATGGTCTTCATGGAGGCGCCACGCAAGTTAAGGATCTGCAAAACGCGCTGCTTCACAGTATCGCCGGTGGCACTGACCTCCAGCAGGATGTAGTCGATGCGCTGCAATGTGAACAGTCCTCCTGTCAGCCGTTTAATATAGTTGTTCTCCGCCTCTTCGTCCTCGTCAATGCTGGGATCCTGTGGGGTTATATAAAGTTAAGTAAAAGAATCATAAGTATACATCTAAAAGCTCCAGTACCGTATAAAATCATAATTTGTCTAAAAGTTAGTTTGAAATAGATTTTTTAGCTTTGTTTTGCAAGTTGTTGTCTTTGATAGGATTTTAAATATATGGGGAAACAGTCTTTTAAACAATTTTAGGAAAACATTTTCTATTTGATTAGTTTCTTACCACTATATCCATTCTATCTATATTGACAAGAGTATAGCTATCTTTTTAGTTTGTTTATTATTTTCTACTTGCCTTAGCCTGCTGATCGATCTCCTTGTCTATGGCCTCCACCTTGGCCAGATACTTGAGATGCAGCTCCAGCAGCCGGTCCACCTTCTCGTGATCGTTCTCAGTGAACTTGGCCAACATTCGCTGGCGATGCGTGCCCTTGCAGTTGCGCAGCATCGATGCAATGACGGAGGTCACATGCTCCTCGTGCTCGTCGGCGGAGATCAGTCGCTGCTTGTTGCGCTTGGGGGTTTTCATGAAGAGCGGAAAGATGGTGCGCAGGCCGAGGATCTCGACGAACTTGTTACAATTGTCCCTGCCATCCTGACCGGCCATGGCATGATCGAGAACCTTGAGCGAACCATTGCGCGACATTTTCTTCTCCCTGAGCATCAGGTTCATTAGCTGAAGACCCTCGCCGCTGAGGAAGCGATCGCGATTCTCACGGGCCATCAGAGCGGAACAGAGGCAATTGAATAGGTTCTGCATATACTCCTGCTCCTCGTTGCTCCCGGGATCGTGTCTTTTGTAGACGGCCAGCTGTTGGAGCAGCACATCCACTCCATCCAGCGAGCCCAGCAGCAATCGGTTATCATTCTCGGTTTGTATGAGAATGGATAGAATCTCGCTGCAGTACAGTTTGTTGGGATCGAAGGGCGACTTTCCGCGCAGGCGTTTCAGCAGCCAGGCCAATAATCCCTGTTCGGCGGCCTCCTTGACGAATTCCGAATCGATTTCTGTGAGGTTCTCCACAATGGCCAGTGTGTTATGCACTCCATCGGATTCCTCCTTGACCTGCTCGTTCAGTCTCTCCAAATTCTGGACGAGCAGAGCACAGATTTGCTCCTTCCTTAGGGCTTCTATCAGGGATTCGGCACCCTCTTGACTTTCGCCCAGTATGTCCACGTCGGTTACCTCCTGCAAGAGATCCACAACGGCCACAGCTATGTCCGTGTTTTGGTGGGCCAGTAGTTCCAGTAAACTGTGCAAGCCATGCAGTTCCACGAGGAGCGGATACAGATCGGGAACCGTGGCCACGCCCTTCAGCTCCTGGATCACTGTGTGCAGCTCCACCTCCGAGTCCATGAACTTTTCGGGACTGTCGGCGAACTTGATGCGCATCTCCTGGTTCTTGAGGTTCCTCTTCTCGAACACCAGTATCAGTTTCTTGAGGCTCTGCTCGTCCAGAACGTCGCCATCGGCCTCCTCGTTCTCCACATACTTAAGGATGTTCAGTCGCTCCTCCTCCGTGAGTTCCGGATCGAATTCGAAGCTGGTGGTGGTGGTGCCGCCGCCAGATGCGGCAGATGCTCCTCCACTCTGTTTCAAATAGTGTGCCGACTCCTTGGCTTCGGCGATGCGCCGCATGCGTTTGATTTTCTCATCGCCACCGCCCCGTTTTCCATGGGAGCTCTCCAAATCGAAGTCCTCGTCGTCGTCCTCGTGCGGACGCTTTGGCGTCTGTTCCGGCTACAATTTGGGATGGTTCAGATGTGGCTATATCTCAGGAATCACTATAATATTTACCTTAAAAGCCAGCAGTTCGCCGATGTCCATGGTTGCGGGGTCTTAATAGAGGTGGGAATGCGTCGTTGCCAACTACGATGTTTTTAAATTACCTGTCTTATCGATGTTCAGCTGGGATAATCGATATTTAACCATTTTTATCGATTTGTCACACCTTTTCTTGAACCCTTTGTTAAATTTTTAATTTTTAAATGCACTAACTATTCAACACTACTCTTGAAATAGTAAAAAACAATATTTTTTAATTTTAAAAATCAAAATTACGCCAAAAACATCGATTTCTAACGTTTTAATTTTCTAGGCTAAAGGTTGAGAACTTTGATAAATAGCCTTATCGAAGCCTCCTACCATTTAACCCTTATAGATGTAATTTCATTTTGGTTTGGCAGTTAAAATTTTTTTTTCTTTCTTTATATTAACATAGTGTGATACAAAAATTATTATAACTTTTCAGCAGTATTTTTTACATACAATGGTTTATTTCTATTATTTCACCTAAAGCTTTTTAGTTTTAATATATAGGACAAAAAAGTTTCTAACTATCAAATTAAAATCGTCAGTATACATTTATTTTTCTGTTTGCTAGCACTTCGGTTAGAAGGGGAACCCAGTAGGTTGATTAAATTAAATAGAAACACTTAAGTATATTAAGAATTTTAACTTAAATGATTGAAACGATAGTTAGTAATATGATATTGAAACAAATAATTAGGACACTGAAAATATAAATACATTAAAAATAACAAGGTCAATCTAAAATAAAGTGTTTTAGTGTTTTTTTATAAAGTATTTTTAAAGTGTTTTACAACATTATGTTATAATTTGTAAATTGTTTCTAAAAAATATTGTGACTTGCTTGTCTGTTTTGATTTATTTTAAGTTGCTAGTTATATCTCACACAAATTCCTACAAATTAAATTAATAATGTAATGTAATATAATCCATTCCTGCCACAACCACCCAGCCTCCCAAAGGGCATTTGCATGTTTTAGCCCTGCGTCTGCGACTATGATGACGACTTTACATAAATTCCTAAAGGCCAAGCCCCAAAAATATATTTACAACTGCTTTAAGCTCTGACAATTCAACAAGTTGTTTTGGGGAGTGTGTGTGCTGGTGTGGTTGTGCGCCTGTTGCCATCTCATTCGCACTGTCGGGCTTTCTTCGAGCCAGTCTTTCTTCAAGCCAGTTCGTCAGCGTGATTTGGCGTTGTTGTTGCTGCCTTTGCAGTTGCCATTGGTGTTGGTATTGTTGCTGTGGCTGCTGCCGCTTTTTTTTTACTCTTTTCTGGCTTGTTTCATGTTGACCCACTTTTGGTGGCAATACGTGAGCCAGTACAGTGGGACAAAATACCGGTGAAAGCTTAGCTTTGTCAAAGCTTGAACTTCAAATTACTATACAGTTTTTATTTATTTGAAATTGATTTATAAATGCTTATTTTCGTAACATGTTTAGAACTCGGATCGTTTTAAATAGCTAATTTTAACTGTTTTTTTTTAATATGATTTATATGTACCGAGTTAATAAGCCCAATATCCCAAAATAAACAAAAAATAGTCGTTACTATAATTTATATATATAGAAGTACTGCTCGACTGTTTTTTTTATATCTGTTTTTGGAATTTAAAAGTTATTCGACATGAAAATAAAAGTGAATCTCTAAATAATGTACAAAATAGAGCCAGTGTTAATTAAATATATAAAAGTACACATATTTATTAACACTGGATCTATAGTTTTTACTGTTTTAGATATTTTTAAAGCGATTTGTAAAATATAAAAAAGGGTAATTTTAAAAATAAAAGAATTTAGAATTAAATTTTTTAACAACATTTTCCTAAGATTTATAATTGATCACTGACTCAGACTTTTATCCATCTTGTCCCACGGTGGCGGGCAAAAAGTCATAAACTGAATTGCCAACAGGTTATGGCGACGACCACGAAGACGACGGATGGCTGCTGTTTTTGTTGTTGCTGTTGCTGTTGCTCGGCTGCGGGGTAGTAAAAAGGGCCATGACAGTGACACTTTGAAGTTTGAGGTTAAATCGTCAATGTTGTTGCCTTGGCTTTGCTCTCCGGTTGCATTGGTTTGCTTTTTGCTTTATCTGTCTCTCGCCATATTCCCCAACATATTTTAGTCGGTCTTTGCTGTTGTTTTGGCTCTTTCGAATTATCGTATATTTTATGCTGCATTTTGCACTGCACTGCATTCAAAAGACTTAGGCAACGAACTTGCCAAGAAATAACTTTGAACTCACGCATGCTCGCACGTTTTTATGTTTTTCTTATTAATTATTTTTGCTTTTTTGCTTGCCCACTCACACACGAGTTCGGATTTGAAAAGTGAAATTTCAAAGTAGAACAAGCGGCAGCGGTAGCAACAACGCACGTTTAGAGGTTCCAATAAAAATGGGGTCACTTGTCGTTGGCCAGTCGGTTAACCACCTCCCCGCCCGAAAACCCCTCGAAAACCCCCACTGACCATTGATCGCATAGATCACGCGCCGTCTCTGCTGTTGTTGTTTTTGTTGCAGTTGTTGCTGTAGTTGATGCCGTTGTGCATTGTAAATTAATTGCAGTCGCGTCTCGCGTCTGTTTTGGATTTTTTGGCTTGAACCGTTCTCAACCAGTTTTAGGCCATCCATCGTGTGTGCCATTAAAATGCACCACGAACTTGACAACGAAACGGAATAAATGGTGAAATATATCTCTTCCAGCTTAAAGACTTTCCCTGTGACTAGATATTTAATTATGCACTAAGTTCTAGCATCTGATATGGCTTGACTTGTATTGAAATCTTGTTTACGTTATGTTGAA